GTGGATTGCCGTTTCCCCTCCCTGCATTCGGGACTGCTGGTGGCTCCTAGCGGTGGAGAGACCTGCGGACATCAGCCAGAGACGGCGGCGCCAGCAAGCGTGAGCCTGTAGCAGACGTGGCCACGGGTTCCCAACTTCCTCCGGGCACCTCCGAGTGCACAGACCGAGCCCGCGGCAGGCGCCATATTGCCTCTCCTCCCCTCCGCCAACCCTACCGAGCTGCCAGAGAGACAATACAGCCACCAGCCAGAGGCACCTCCAGGGAAGGACCTTCCCTTTTGGACCATACAGCTGACTCAGGGGAACTCAGACTGTGGCTCCCTACCGCCGCCCTCCCAGGTGCTGCTGGCACGGTGTTCCCCAGGAGAACGCGTGCCAACTCAGAGGCTGAGAGACATAACCAGCTTGGGCTCCTGTGGGTGAACTGGGACCGGAAATCCTCTCCCTGGTGGGGATACAGTTTGAACTCTAGGACCCAGAGGTCAGACCTGCAGACCAGATCCCCTGCACCGAGGGCTAGCATTGCCCGGGGCACAGAGGGTTATACGTGAACAACCTACTGAGGTGTGTGTGCCTCCAGGGGCGGATCCGTGTCCTAGAGGGCAACCCTCCTCCCAGGAGGAAGCCAGGTGGCGTTCCTGTGCAGGGAACCTACCTGCCGGCATCACAGTCCGGGGAGGCCTGGTGGCTTGTGGTCTGGCCTGCTGGGAGGATATAAAACCATCCTCCATATAGCCAGCTAATCTTTGACAAGCAGACAAAAACATACGCTGGAGAGTCCTCTTCAATAAATGGTGCTGGAAACTGGATAGCCACCTGTAGAGGGCTAAAACAGGACCCACACCTTTCACCTCTCACAAAAACCAACTCACGCTGGATAACAGACTTAAACCTAAGGTATGAAACTATTAGAACACTACAGGAAAAAGTTGGAAACACTCTCCTAGACATCGGTGTGGGCAAAGAGTTTATGAAGAAGTCCCCAAAGGCAATCACAGCAGCAACAAAATAATAATGGGACATGATCAAACTACAAAGCTTCTGCACAGCCAAAGAAATAGTCATGATAAACAGACAACCTACAGAATGGGAGAAAATTTTGCATCCTATGCATCCGATAAGGGACTGATAACTAGAATATACTGAGAACTCACGAAAATCAGGAAGAAAAATCAAATAACCCATCAAAAAGTGGGCAAAGGATGGA